CTTACCCTCTCGAGTACCTCCTGCGCTTCCACGTACTTGTAACTCCTCGCCAACACCTTCGCCCTGTACAAGGCCAGGTCCAGATTCACCGGGAGCGGCTTCCCCCGCGAGCCGGACCCCACCCTCTCCGGCTCGAATATCGGCATCCTCTCCGCGAACTTGCTCAGCCCCGCGTCGAGCGCCGACGACGACCTCGGATCGCTCTCGTCGCCGTCGCCGTCGCCCCCGCCGGCGCCCCCGCCATCCGCCTCACACCCGGCGGGGTCCTCGCCGCCTGGGGAATCCATCGCGGGCCGGCGGATCGCGATCTTCTTCTCCGGCGGCGGCTCGTTCCCCGGGGCGGCGGCGACGTCGAGGGCCGCGGGCGGCTGCTGCTGCTGCTGCTGCTGCTTCGGCGAGCACGGAACCGGAGGAGGAGAAGGAGCGAGGCACGGCGGCGGTCTAGTGGAAGGAGACCTGAAGAAGAAGGAGTTCGAGCGGCTGGGGTGAGGCGAAGAGGAGTAGAAGGCGAGGTTGGAGTGAGGAGCTGAGGTTGGAGATGGAGAGAAGAGACGCATTATTGCTGCGTGGGGGACGTTCGGCTCTCAACGGATAACGAACTGAATCGTGGGGGAGAGCTTCAACTCGCGGTGAGGGAACGTGTGGCGGGAGAGAGAGAGACGGGTAGGAGGAAGCGAGCGAAATTACCGGAGCGCCCCCTGCTGTTGGGAATCCGTTTATTTCGCGAAAAAATGAGTTATTTAAAAAATATTTTTTTAAAAATTAATCATTTTTATCGTTTAAAATATATAATTAATGAAAAATAATATTTTCGTTATTGATAGCAATTTATATTTAAATATTTTCGTAATCGATGAAAAAAATTCCGTTCATCATATTTATAGGAGATGCAAACAATCATTTTTTCGAAAAATATTTTCCAAAACATTTATGCAGGCATTAAGGGATTTTTAATTCATAAACTAGAGATCATTTGTTCGAAACCCATCAATTGCGTGCAAAATACACGACGTTAAGACTATATGCACAGATCAAAGGTCAAGACTTAATCAGTTTATGGGGCTTGGAAAGTTTTTTATTAACCTTAAGGTAATTTTTTGGTCTCTACGGTCGTGCCCTTAGATCATAAAAAAAAAATGCACGGGTCAATTTATTTTCTACTAAAGCTCTAATTTAAATGATGTAAAAGCAAAACAGTCAAGTGGATTTCTGGGTTATTATTCGTAAGTAAGAGTTCAATTTTACGAAAGATTCAACGTGTTGTGTACAAATTTGGAAAACGGAAGTTAATTCAACTACGAAGTCGAGACACATCAGAGTTCCCTAATGTATGATATACCCATACCTCGAGTTCTATTAAACTTTTCTCTTAATCGACTATTTTTTTTTTGGTCGAACTTGATCGACTACTTAACAGGTCCTACCTAAAGAAGTACAATTCTAAATTATTATTTTTTTACATTAAGCGACGTGTTCACGTAAGATAATTTCAAAGTGAGGAGCAAATAATTAACTTAGCAACATCACACCCCACATGAAATTAATTAGTATTAGAGCATTAAATCTGCGCATGTCACGGGAACGTGAATTCTAACGGTGAACTCGAGCTTTGGAGGCAAAAGGGTCCTTTAGTAATTGTACTGCACAAAGGCCATCGGTGGCACCGGTTCAGGATCGGCCACGTCGCTTGTCACCTTTGGGTGGCTTATCCCAGCCGTTCCATCGACGGAGAAGATTCGCCGGCGACGTGGAAGCTTATAGTTGGTGGGATGTGTCCCAAAAATCACACGTAGTAATCAATCTTCATACAGAAGTTGTCTGACCAAAGAGAAAATCTTTAGATTTTTCCGATCGTAATTACGCGCGATCTTTTTATAATATCACAACATGCAAACACTTAAAAATTTCTCAATCAATGTATAACATCTAGTAATTGCCAAGGAAGTCTCGGATCAAGGGCATTGCACGCATGGTGTCTTCAAGCCTCCGCATTGTTGGGATCTTTTGTAATTTACAAATGTTCAGTATAATCCCTACGTTACATGAAAATGACGCAAAGAGAAGGAATTGAACATTTATTAATAATTCAAGACCACATTGAACAGATTAAAAGTTCAAAAACGATATTGCACATTAAGCCAAAGTTCAGAGATTATTTATGTTATTAAACCATTGCTTGGCATGTGCACAATCCATCCACTCTGGCTCATTACCATTAAAAAGCCTCGTCATGCTGAGTCTATTGCTTCTAGCTCTATTGCTTTGTCGAACCTTCACTGTGATGTGCTGTATTTTCTTAGTTGGCAAAAATAAAAGAAAGTTTGCAATCTAAAGCTTAAGATTTGCTCGAGTGACAAGCGTGTTTGTCTTGCTTGCTCAAAGCTTGAATCACCATATTTACTCTCGCCTCTTGAGATTGCCCCTAGAGCACGTGCCCCTGTTTGATTGCTCGAAGAGCTCTATACAACCTATCATCAAGGTAAAAACAGAACAAATTTACGATTTTACATAACCAAAAGAGAATTGCTTCCATCTAGTGCACGGCCTATTTGGATCCAGGCGAGGGCAACATATTACATGAAAACCACATGACCAGCCTCAGTTATGCATAAATCTTGATCTGGTCGGACTCCCTAAGTGTGGACGAGGCAAAATACATCATGCTTCCTGGTACTTGTGACTCCCAGTGGAAATTGGTCTGTCAATGGTTGCTTTCTTCTGTTGGAGAAGAGAAGATAGAAAATCGCGGCAGCCATGACTAAACCACCAAAGACAAGTGCGCCTGCATTGCGAATTCGAAATGGAAGTTTGCACGCAAAAATCAGCATATTGTTGCTTGGAGACGCTCGAGGTTTCGAGCAGCATGTACATATGTCGCGAAAAAAAAGAAAAGAGAAGAGTTTCTCATCGATTGCGACAATGTTGGGTTCGAATTTGAACTACTTCATTGGAATAGTATTTGCGAATTTCGTGAAGCAGTGCAATTATTAATATTTACAAAGTTAATAGTGATCATTAGAGATATGAAATCTATCTGTCCAAATAGATTCTCCAATTTTTGTAACTTGAAACTAGAGGTGTCAAAATGGGTCTTAAACCCATATATGACCCATTTAAAAATAAATAGGTCATATATGGGTCACTTTAATTTTAAAGAGTCAACCTTAAATGGGTTTTAAATTTTAAAGCTTAAAGATAAATGGGTCTAAATGGGTTGAGTTTGGAACCCATGTCCAACCCATCCATCCACACACTCTCTCCCTCTTTACAAAAATATTTAAAAAAAATCGAAATTTAATTATTTTTTTTCTCTTTTTCTTTTCTCTTCTTTCTTTTTCTTTTTTTTTTTTATTCCGGCCGGCGGTCGGCCACGGCAACCGGCGGTCGGCCACGGCAACCGGCGGTCGGCCACGGCGACCGGCCACCGAGGCGGGACGACCTCGCCGGCCTCGGGGCGAGGCTCGAGCCTCGGCGATCCGCGAGCCTCGAGCTCGCCCGGTCCCGGCGACCTCGAGGCTCGCCGATCCGGCGAGGCTCCGGCCTCGCCGATCCGGCGAGACTCGAGCTCGCCGGCCTCGGGCGAGCTCGACCTCGCCGGATCTGGCGAGGTGGAGCCTCGCCCGAGGCTAGCGAGCTTGAGCTTCGCCGGCCTCGGGCGAGGCTCCACCTCGCCAGATCCGGCGAGGTCGAGCTCGCCTGAGGCCGGCGAGCTCGAGTCTCGCCAGATCGGCGAGGCTAGAGCCTCGCCTGAGGCCGGCGAGGCCTCGGCCTCGCCAGATCGGCGAGAACGAGCTTCGCCGGCCTCCCGCGAGCTCGTCCTCGCCTGTGGTCGGTCGCCGGCCACGGCGATCGGCCAAAAATAAAGGAAAAATAAAAATAAAAAATAATTAAAAATTCGATTTAAAAAATAAAAAAAATGTTTATTTTTTTATTTTTTTCTTGGATAATGACTTTATGGAAAATATTTTTTAGAAATGTCGCATTTTTCGTAAAACAAACAGAACCTTAATTTTAAAAAAAATTATAAAATTTTTTCACTAGCTTTGTATTGCAAAAAATATTTTAGCAGTATAATTTAAAAAAAAATCATAAGAAACAAGTATTCCTAGATTAGGTTAAATATAAAAGTGTTTTAGCAATATGGGTCGGGTATGGGTTGGGTATGGGTCAGGTTAGGTATGGATCGAGATATTTACACTATGAATAAATGGGTCATAAACGGGTTAATAGGTCAATTTAGGTCGGACCATTTATGACCCAACCCAAACCCGACCCGACCCACCCGTTTAACAGGTCTACTTGAAACTTATTCTGCATATTTTAAAACTTAGAATCTGAAATTGGGTTTCTACCGGTCCGGTTCTCAGGAATCATGTTCACCCCTACTCCTCCTCCACCTTCAAATGGAGCAGTAGAATTTAACTGCCGGCAGCTCCTTAAATTCCTCTCACATGGATTCATAAATAAGCTAATGAAGAGAGGTCATACAGAAGGAGACTATCTTGGAGGCTTGATGTGCATAGCGTGCAATCAAGGCCACTTTTACTTCACTCAATTGGGCCTGAAAATAAAAAAAAATAAAAACAAACAAACTGCCAAAAAAGGGTCATTTCTGAAATGGGGAAACGAGGAGGAACTGCACTCGGGAAGAATGGAAACCCGAAAGGACAACTTGTTGCGTCGCCCCGAGAAAAGAAGCCAGAAAAGACGCACAGGCTTTTCTCGTTCTGCCATTGGCGAAACCTTCGAGGATTTCATTTTCTCTGTATTGACAGAACAGAGTTGCAGTCAGGATCAAATGCTTCGTGTGCACCTCCTCGGTGAAACTTCGATGCCGTCTTCTTTCGCCGTTTGACCTCTTGCTACAGAGCAGTAATGACCATCTCTCTCTCTCTCTCTCTCTCTCTCTCTCTCCCCCGGTGTTCTTCCATGAATTTCTACACTGCTACACACGTGTAGGGACGGGTGGGGACAGACGAGAAAGACGGGATACAGTCACTTCAGTTTGGTTCACACAAAGAACAAGAGATGCACCGGATGCATTCCTATGCCATTTTAAATTCCGAGGGATTATTATATCATGATCGTAAACTTCACTGCAAGGTAATTAACTAATCCAAATAATTACATGGCGCGAACGTTAGTTTTCGCATGATTTTGGCACCCGCGATGACTGTACAACTAAGGGGTCGGTGCACTGTAAATAGGTTTATGCCGTATAGCATAAGTATGGCCTTTTCTTTTTCTTCCCGAGTTATCTGTATGGAAGTTTTGATAGAATAACATTGAAATTTTGGTATTTTGACTAACATTATAGTCAAAAGGAACTTTTCCCGGGGTAGTATATGAAATTTAGTGAAGAAGAGCTAGAATAAAATTTCTAATGAAATCAATGTATATACATATAGACACACCAACGGGAAGCACGTGATGGCATTTAAGACGAGGCTGGCTTTTCATGAATGCCCATCTATTGAGAATACGCAAATTTTGGGTTCTTTTACCAACTTGGAAGGGTATCGAGGCTTATAGGTTTAGTCAAAAAGGCTAAACTTTCACCCCACAAAGAAAAAGGGGGATCATGTATGCTTGATAGACAGTGTAGGAGCATGGCTGTTGCAGCACAAAGTCCTCTGCCCTCGCTCCTTTTTGTGGCCTTTCGGGGCAGATTTTCATCTGCCAAGCAGAGCACCTCTAATGCTTCCCCCCTGAATTCCATTTGACTTTTTGTCGAGAAGCCCACCACCTACAGCCAAAAGTGGAGGGGCTCTATCCCTATGAATCTCTGCATTATCATATCACTTGGATCAAGTTAATCCCATTTTGAAAAGTTTGATGACATCTGCTTGATGATATGCAAAAGGGTACATGTGTGCAGAAATTTTACTGTATGTGTGCGGTATTTCAGACGAAGAGATGAATGCGAAGCTGCGATGAGCGATCTTAAGGCCTCGCTAGTTCCGATACCTACTCAATTAGTCAAAACGTGTTACCTTACCGCGTGAACCTTGCAAAGCAAGACTCCTGCACGATTTGCGGGGAGACGATCGACGCGCCGACATGCTACTTTCCGAACATATTCGCGTGCAAAAATGAACATTTTCATTTTTGATGGCGCAGGTGGAATCAGAAGTACAGATGAACTCTGTTAATTACACTCAAATCATGCAACATGCAATGTTGGAAGTTGATTAGTACTGGGTGCGAGCATTAAAGTGGATGTCATCTCTCTCCCATCTTCAGTCTCTCTCAACATGAAATAAAGAGGTGAAAGAAACACGACCGGACGAGACATTAAGAATGAAACGAGGTTGGTGGTCCTTCCGACTCTTCATCTTCAACCAGTACTCTGCACTTCACACTGCCCTTTGCTTCTCTGTGCCCTCCCTATTCCCACACAAAATTGCACAGGCCAAAATTTGCCTGAAAGAGAAGTACAAGAAACCTATTCGTTTCATCGCAATCATCCCCTGCTCTCTTATATAAAGAACCACTCCCACAAACTCTTGAGCGCCACCAACAGTACAATAGCCCCAGAGCCAACATAAACTGTCCAGAAAATAATCATGAGGTCACTTTGTCGTGTCTTCTTCTGCTGCGCCATGCTGTTGTTGCTCCTAGTCCCACCATCCAACTGTGTGAAGCATTCAGGTAAATTTTCTCCATTTCATGGTACTTCATCGCCGCAAGTGATCATTAGTTTTCACAGAGCTTGTAGCTCATGAAAATGCTCATGAAAATCCAGTTTCATTTCCTCAAATTCGAAAGACTTCCATGTGGATTCTTTTCGGCACCGTAAATATACTGACAAATTTCCTTTTTCTTCTGGTTTCTCTTCCCCTGCACGTATCCGAAACACTGTGAAGACCCTCCCGGTTTCTTCCTGCATTCATCGAAAGAAGGTCTCAACCAGTCCAGTGCAGAGGCCAGAGCTTCAAAAATGGCAGTTTCCACTTCCAGCCACAGAAAGGGTTTGCCACATGGTGAAAAGAGTTCAACCCCTCTCCTTCGTTTTTACCTTTTTCACTCTCTCGGGCGCATAAAAGTAAAAACCAAACCTTTTTCTTGGCATGTGGACATGACCATTTTGTCAACCATTTTTCTTGTTTTGTTTTTTTGGTGCAGGATCAGCATCATCATCACTGTGCAAAAGCAGAGACATAAGCATCTCGCAGAGCAGAGACTCGTCGTCCTCGGGGATACCACAGTTCATTGTCCAAATCATGAACACCTGCACCGTGCCTCGCTGCTCGCCTACGGGCATTCACCTCCACTGCGGCTGGTTTGCCTCGGCCAGGATGGTGAACCCGAGGAGCTTCAAGAGGCTCGCTTACGACGATTGCCTCGTGAACGGAGGCGAGGCCTTGAAGCCCAGCCAGATCGTCCGCTTCACTTACTCCAACTCCTTCATGTACCCTCTCGCCTTCAAGTTTGCCAAGTTTTGCTGAGCTCACAATCTCACAGAGAGAGAGAGTGAGAGATTCATCAGCGACTAAGTATAGTGTTGATTCTGATTTTTGATCTTTTGGTTCATACGAAATTTAACTTCTCTAGGAGTGCTGACACGGGTGTGTGCGCAAGTAAGTTTGAGGATTACTTGTGGAATGATTTGGTTATGCTGATGTTCTAAACTGCGCATTTTGAAGAAGAGATTTTTATTGCCTTGGTCAATGCTCAATGCTAACACAATTCTCTGTTAGTAATTTCACTTTTGTGTTTCCAATGAACTGGGTTATGACTAAGGTAAGCCAAAAAGAATCAATGGAAGAAAGAAAGAAAGGAGTGGGTATGACTATGATTTGCATGTGATTTATTACTTATGACAATGTGTGCATTCCACTAGATGCTAATTTATCACACGCTTGTTAGGGATTGTTCATGCAATAGTTTGATTCTGACCATATCAGATTCCAAACAAGCTCTATCATCCCGATTGTAATTGAGCGCTAAGCTTTCACGGTCTCTGTTCTCATTGATTTTTCCTAGACCAAGTCAAATGACTTTCATCATGGATATAAGAATGCCACTTGAAACTTTGGAAGAACCTAAAATCTTTCGTACTGATATCAGAGCCTTAACACATTTCTTCGTCGAGTCAAAAGCTACTATTCGTAGTTAAGATGCCTGCATAGTGCTTGGAATGGGAAATTCTGAAACTCTGGCGCCACGTTACGTTTGATTTCACCGAGATAGTCAATTTTTGCCACTCCAGAATTGTCTTCTTTGCATATGTAACAAATTAAACACATTTCAAAAAACGATACATATCGTAGTATATTAACAGTAATCTATAGTTATTATATAATATATAACATTATAAAATACTTTTTTAAGTATGGAATTATAGAATGCTACGTTCGGCCCCATTAATGAAACCAAACAGCTGTCCCCTAATCCAGTTAGTTGAAAAATGCTTAAGTATTGGAACACTACAAGGCCCAGCCCTCCACCGTTTTTCCACCGCTCTTGGCCCATCTCACCCACAACACAACCCCCGAACAACCGCACTTCTTGGGAAGCCTGCCCCCATCCTACTGGCCCAGACCCACGACGATAACGGACCTCGGGACCGGGACCCAAACAACCATACAATTGGACTAGGATTGGTGGGGTGCGCCGGGCCAAGGCAGCAGTGCAACGCCAAGGCGACGCGCGAGAGCCCCAGCAGCAAGCTACTGTGATGGACTCTCCCCCTCGAAAAATAAATTTAATATCATGTGAACCGATGGCCCACGTATCAGATATTAAACTGATAAGAACAGATACTACACTTGATCTTAGCCAAAAGGCCGAGAAAGGTATGAATTGGCTCGGCACATGGCTCGGTTTTTATTGACGACTCTCTCTCACGGTCTTAGGGTACCAATTCGATGTGGGACTTTTCACTCAGAGCTTCCACGCATGCGCGCTTCTCTCTTTGCCTCTGCTCTCTGGAAAAGCAACGAGAGGGTCGTGCATGGCCAGGCCCGCTGTTTCCTTTCTTCTGTTCTTTTTCTCTGGCGTTTTGCAGCCATAGTTAGCTTCCATCGAAGGGCTTTCTGATAATCGAGCAATGGCCTTTTTTTCGACCAGGACGGCTTTGGCTGCTGAGCAGTTTGCTATACCGGGTGCTGCATTTTGTCATCAATGCACGAGCTTATGAACCCTTTCTTTGACTAGATACTTTAGGCACATTCAGTCCCCAATCTGAGGTTTTTCTTATAGTTTCTGTGATTCGTTAGCTCCATATTTTCGTGTTGTGAGAGCTCCGGTTATACAGGTAAAGCCCGAGCCTAGAAGTAGCTAAAACTACATTGGCTAAGGAATATGTTGGGTCAAAACTCGAGTGGTTAACCTTAACATGGGATTACTCGCACTTGGTACTTGGAAGTATGAGATTTGTACCTGCGCAGCTAGTCAAATATACTTGTTCGCTCCTTAACCACTAATCTAATCTTGTGGAGTTTCAATAAATCTCAACTTATTGGCAACAAGTCCTATGACCTACAATAGGGAGGACATGTGAACATCAAAAAACTGAGAGATGGTGCTGTCGCATTTCATGGTGCCTTGCGACTTCCATCATCCTGCTACTGAATCCCCCTGTACTGTGACTTAAGAATTGAGAATGACTCATTGATAAAGTTCAATCAATGGCTTTTTTCCCAGGAAAATTTGACATTTTTAGGTGCGAATCATAGGTGAGATGTGGCGATGGCCCTTACTAATTGGCATAGCCCCATCTTTCAAATTCATTCAGTTCTCTCATTGTGATAAGAAGAAGTACGTATTGCCAGTGTGCCCTCGTCTTGTTAAGTTATTGTGGTAGCCTCTTACGCTTTCGTCTCCGACGAATATTGGCCTTAAAGTGCTTTGGATCACAGCTCTCAGACTAGAATTTACGCCCAATTTCAGGTTGTTGGAAACTTCCCTGAACACAGGATGGAGAGCACCTAACACTTAAGGAGACGCTCCTTGGCCAAACTTGAAAAGGGGAGGGGGGGGGGGGGGGGGAATTAGCTGTCGACTGTCATATTGACTATTCAAGAGGTCAACGGAAAAAGGTGCATGCGGAGAACATTGAGCTGAAAACTAATGTTACTTTTAACTCGAACAAGAGCAGATGCTTGTTACAATGCTTGCCTCAGATAGCGAAGGAAACCGGTAATGTGTCTTATAGAGAAGCAGAGAAACTACATGCGAAAGCTGGGGGATAAAAAGTTGGAGCTTTCAATGTATAAAGTCTATTGAAGTAGAAGGGTTTAGCAGGATTGATCTCCCTGTACATGTACTGTCGATGTTTTAAAACAACAAGCATGACAAGGATACATGTTTTCAGCTCGTCGTCTCTCTTTCAATATACTCCTGTCGTAGGCTCCCAATTGTCTTTAGAAGGTTCTCAGCCTCGCAGGCCTTGAGACTGGATGCAATTCGCGCCTCTCCAGCCTCTGTTCGAGTTGTTTAGTCCGAAATCTCGGTGGGACTAATCCAAAACTCGCGACACAGCATGATAACAACAACCGGTAATTGCCGGGACCAATCATCTAAAGCTATGACTGATTTTTTACAGCACCCGCATTCCTTGACAGTACCTCATACCAAACCAAACATGCTAAATTCAAAAAACCAATTTAATCATATGGTGCAGCAATTCATTTTTCACCATATCCTAATATATCAAGAACACATGAATCAGAATAATAAAAATTTACAATAGAGTTATTGGGGTGCGCCAGGCCAAGGCAGTAGTGCAACGCCTAGGCGACGCTCAAGAGCCCCAGCAGCAAGCTACTGTGGCGAGCTCTCTCCCAAGAAAAATTAATTTAATATCATATGGACCGATGGCCCACATATCAGATATTAAACTGATAAGAACAGATACTACACTTGATCTTAGCCAAAAGGCCGAGAAAGGTATGATTCGAGTAACCGTCGGGCCTTGACTTTTGGCAGAGCTCATTTGATTGACCTTTCCCCTTGTTTCCTATGGGGGACTCTTGCATGGAGTCCTTGTCCTTAGACTTTGACCATTCACATTGACACTTACTCTGTCTCTCCTCTACCGCGAGCGGAATCAATGATCTGGTGAAGCAAGACTTGGAATGTGCAAGAGATGGTGTTGTTGCATTTTGTGGCACCTCGCAGCTTCCCAGCGTGCTCTTGTTTTTTTGAGCTATCTGCAGCCAGCTCTTATTCAATTGTCTTTGACAAATCCTGTCCTTAAAAGTACTGCAGATGGCAGCGAATGAACGAACAGGGCCGTTTTACACCAACCAAAACTGAATCTTGAGTAGCACACAGGATGGAGAGTACCTAATCCACAAGATGGACAATCTCGAATGAATTTGGGCTGCCATATATTTCGTAAGCAGTACATACATGATTACAACAGTAATTCCTTAACTGACTGGTCAATGTCTTGATCACCTTCATCGCCCAGCGAAAAGAGAAAAGGCACAGGGATGATCTGGAATGCGAACACGGTCGCCAACTCGATAGAATTTGTTTGATTTTTCACTACTCCAACAGTGTTCAGTGACAAGAAAATCAAATCAACCCCTAGCGGATGGAATTATCCGGATTTTCCTATAGCGTTTTAACTGATCGATTCAGAATATGAAAGCAGCATTGAAACTTTCATTCAGCAGTCGTCGGGCTGTCTTATCTCAGTTTTTCCCATCATATGTTGATATGGTATGAAATAACTCTAATGAACTTGTAACCGCCCGATATATTCATAGATAAACCAACGAATAAATAAATAACAGAGAAAGAAACATCGAATTACAGGAAGTTTGACACTGCCAAAACTTTGTTTTATTTTGGACCAATCAATCCCGATGACGAAAACAAGCCAAATGACACTAGACGACTGGGATTATTCAACACAGAAAACAACCAACCATGTTTTCCCTTCCTCCTGTTGTCATTTTTCTCCATAAACAATCTCATCCTCTCTAGAGAATCTTCCACAATCCATGGATCATAAATAACACTCGAAAACTCCTACTATTATCTGACACTGCATCTTTAGCTCAACACTGGCACAGGAGAAAACCATGGCCACTCTGTCTCGATCTCAGCTCCTTCTTCTTCTTCTGCTTTTTCTTCCACCACACGGTCACACTCCTTTAACCCCAGACTCAAATGCTTAAACTAGAATCACCTGGTCAACAGTGCTTGGAGTTGCATTCCAAATCGGAGGAACCTGGTAAAACTAGAATAGCCCATTGGAGCACACAAATACAAAATGCACTTAGTGTGAGTTTGCGCAAGAATCGAGAGGATCGCAATGTCCTGTCACTGAAGAGCTTTGAAAGGAAAGTGCTAATTGCCCAGAAAAGGGGTGTTGGATGCAATCGGTAGTGAAGAATTCAGAGGGAAATTAGTTGTTGCATCCACCAAGAATAAAGCATGACATCATACAATCCATCACACAAAGAGGTTGAAACACGACGATGCATGCAGAGAGCTTCGAGCTATTTCTTGTCACAACAACCTTAGTGACATGCATAGGAAACTGGTAATAATCTTTTCAGGAAACAGCCGAATCATATGTGAAGTAGATCAAAAGATCAAATGCTCGATGTGCAAAGTCTTAGTGCAAAGTCTTAGTGAAGTAGAAGGATGTCTAGCAGGATTGTTCATCCTGTACATGTATTATGGATGTCTTGAAACACATCATCAAAGGA